CCGTTTTTTTTTAGCTTCGATGCAAAGCGAGAAGGTATTGGTTTTACTCTGATGTGTGTTTTTTTTTTATCTGTATACACTGTAACTTTTTTAATACTGGACCAATTCCTTCGAGTAGCAACTCTATAAATCGCAAATTTCATCTAGTTGGTACTTTGGGGGGGGTAAAAGTTGAAAAAGTTTAATTCTTCACAGACGAAAGTTGGAAAAACAAAAAAAAAACCGTACGAGTTTTTAAGTTAGAACTGGCTATAATTTCGAGAAAAATAGTCGGATCGAGTTGAAATGTATAAGAAATAGTTATTTGGTATGCCCGCACACGTCAGTTGTGTCAAACTTAAACTATACCCATTTCCCACCCCCCTAGGGGGGTACAATTATTTTTGTTTTTCGGGGTTTTTAGCGGTAATTTTGAAACTTTTGGGTTGAAAATTTGCCAGTAGTTGGAACTCATATGTACCCATAACATATTAAACGGGAAAAAAATTCGGCACTACAGTTTTTTTTTAATTGCCGGGAAACTGTGTTTTCGCAGATTTCGTATATTTTAACAAAAACACCTAAAATCTTTAAAAAAAATTGATCAAATCATTAAAGCAATTTTATTTATATCTATGCAGAATGATACTATTAGGTTTTGTGCTCAAGTACCACTTTTGACTTAAAGTTTACACAAATTCAATTTTTTTTTTTTTTTTAACTAAAAACCCGGTGTACCAGTTGTGAGAAACGAACAGACACTAAAAATTATCAGTTGGTAATGTCTATCCGTGTTAGATTAGGTTAGGGCCCAATGATCGGTATCATAATATTGTGTTTATTACATGATATCACAGGCGACTAAATCGTGTAACTGATTATAGTAGAAACTCGATTTATTGGGAAAAAAACCTATCCGTGTACTTATTAAGACACTTAATGATTCTGATACGACAAAACCACTGTCGTTATCTCGTTATTTTATAGCCTGCGTTATATAACCTTACCGAAGTGTAACTATGAGTGTATAATGTCCAACTACCTGCAAATAATGAAGAGGACTGTTGTTTTTTGGATTCAGATTAAGTGTTGGTTTTTATGCAGTATACCGCCTCAAAATGTTTTTTTTATTACACAATTTTTTTAAAGGAAAACTAATGTTTTGTATATCGTTATACTGTTATTCATTTAAAGAGATTCACGCATGATTGTTTAAATTGTCTAATATTAGATAATCTGCTTCGTGCTAATTTTAATTTTTAAGTTTATCAACTTGTAGCTCTAATTTTGTATAAAATATTTCATTATTTTATTACTATGTACTATTACTATTAAGATAAATTTTAATAATAATTAAGTCATAAATGATAATACTTTATTTTATGACTAGATCAAATCTCGTGAACATTTAACATCATGATACTGCTCCTATGCTATTATTAAAAAAACACAATTTTTAAAATCTCCATAAAAGGTTATTGTTAAATAACAGGCAACAGCCGATTGCTAGTGGTTATACACGTTAGTAATATTTAACTAATAAGTAATATATGTAGGTAAAATGTATTGTTTTCCCCATCACAGTACCAGTATACGATGTATTTTAATTTAAATGTAAGAAAATTTATTTTTCTTTAGAAAATAACAAGAAATTAATATACAGGATGAGGCAGTAAAACGGCGATTTTCTAATGTATTTAAATGGTAAAACCCGTTTCACTATCCCACCCTTTACATTTTAAGGATCTATGAAAAGATTTTTTAGTTGCATTTTATTTTGTACATTGTCAATCTAGTAAAATAGAAGTATAATATAGCTTTGAAATAATATAATCTGTGAAGTATAAATAGTTTGTGTGAGATTGCTTTAATGGAAGTATATAATACATAAATATTAATTTTATTGAAAATAAGCGATTATAATTTAAACTATGGAGTACAAACGATTGAAACATGAATCGTCGACCATTCCAACAAAATATAACAAGACAATTATTTGGTCCACTAAGTTTTTGCAAAAAAAAAAAAACCAGTACAGTGGGGTTGGTGCATAGTGGGGACGGAGCATAGTTGGGTCGGGGCATAGTGGTGACGGGGAGGTCACAGGTTTACAGAAATTTTTAAATCTGAAAGTGATAAAATCACTTTCGAAAAAACGCTTCGATGCAAATCGGTAGTTAGTATTTTCAAGCCAGTACAGTCCAAACCAAGCACAGTATAAACCAGCAAAGTTAGAAAGTTTTAAATGAAGATTCTGTATTTACAAATGAGCATCAAAGCGTTTATTTGAAAGCGATTTTATTCAATTTTATCACTTTTACTTATAATTCTTGTAGACCTGTGACCTCTCCGTTTCCTCATTGCTTTGATTACATTATGCCAATACTCTACTGTACTAGTCCTCTCGGATAAAATTATGCTTACCTTTTTTTCTTTTGTATTTTCTAGCTCAAGACATCGTATTAAACATCGTCGTCAGTTCAACGAGAAAACTTCAAAAATAATGTCACAATTTCAAAACATTGCAAAGTAGTAACACTTTTTGTAATACTATTTATGTTAGCTTTTATGTGTCATACATTAAAGGCAACTAAATATTATTATGTGTAGATAATAAATAATGATTTTTACAATAAATTTGAAATTTTCCTGAAAATGTAATGTGTTTTAATCTATTTTTTTTTTACTAAGAACAAATCATTTAAGTCAACACGTGTGTAAATTGTTAAAATAGAGTATTTAGGATTTAAGCGGTCAAGATCGTTCACGTTTGTTGTATAACCAACAGAAGAGCACAATATTCATAAATAATTAATAACTCAATAACAATGTTAAGTACATTATTTTCAATTAAAAAAGTTAATGAAGTGTATGATATATGTAAAGTGATGTATGATAAAGTATATTTAAGGTAATTCAGTGTATTGTTGGTCCATTTGTCAGATTGACTGGATGTTTAATGTACGTTTTCCGTATCAATATTAGATTACAAAAGTCAATATAAAATATGTTTACAGCGCCTTACAATCTTAATTTAATTACCTACTGTAAGTGATGTAGCTATATGGGAGCTGCGGTAAATTTTGTGAAACTATACAGCTATGCCAAATAATTGAATAGATAACAAGCTGCTGTTTGGTTTGTTTTTATACAGATTATAAAATATAGTTAATATAAGAAAACAATCGTTTCTATAATAGTCGTCCCGTGTAAGTACCTACATACAAAATAAATTAATTTAAAGCTGATAATGCGAGCAATCGATAAAAACAAATTATCCCTTAACGCGTAATCGGCTTACATAATTAAAAAAATCGTTTATGTTTGCACGTCGTTTGTTTATACCGAGAAACAATAATAATACGGTTTTTATGGCCACGTCTGTGTGTTGTCAGCAATTTAATTGATATTACATTTTTTATAAAACAGTACTATGTTTTGGCAATAAGATTACCCGAATTAGAATGACCTCAATTGTTTAACTAAAAAATAGTATAATCTGTATTTTGCACAATATATGTTTAGTTAAATTATTTCATGTGACCGGTGTGATTTCCGTAATAGGACAAGCGATTTTTTTTACAATATTATTTTAGACGATCGACGTTGTTATAAAAAAAAAATGTTGTTTTAGTAACAGAAAAAATTTAAGTGAGAATTGGGTCGCTGACTAAAATGTACAAAATATATTTTATATTTGTTGTAATTACAAAATTTACAGATAATGAACGGTAAATCAGCAGATTGAGTAACCTGTGTACTTAATCGATACTTCTAGTCCTTATACATAATATTATTAATAACTGTATGCTTGTCAATAACATACATTTTAAGAAAATATGATAGTTATGAGACGAAATGCCATCTAGCTTGTGATAGGGGACGATGAGTTCATTATCTAGATTATAACATTAACAATGTAAGACTTGTAGATTATTAAATAAAAACAAACAATCGTTAATATCAAGTTTACTAAAATTATAAAAAATATACGTATATATTATTATAATAAATATAAAATGTTTGTAAATGGATAATGTTACTTAGAACTAGTGATTGTATATGACTAATTAATAGTTTTTCGCTTAATATTTTAAGCTGGATTATATTGATAATGTATGTACGGTTGTGTGTCTATAAATTGTCAACTAAAAAAAAATTTGTTTAATCAATATTTTGAGTAAAAGTTCAGTAACGAATGAAGAAATTACGAGTATGTCGTAACGAGTTTTAATATTATTATGAAGTTTTCGTATGTGTGTGCACGCAGAAATTCTGACTAGACCAGACTGGTTAATTGTACACACAATAAATACATAAATACAAGCCTATGTCAACACCAATTTATTAAATATTTAATTATTTTTTTTTTACACCTTTTTAATTTATGTGAAAATGTATATGATGTACCTAACTGCACACACGACGTACATTATAGATTTTTATCAAAACTATCTATTTATTAATGTTCCCACAACGGGTATTAGATTTTTTTACGACTTATAGTAATTTTTTTAGTGAATTTGTGTAAAAAAAACACGAGTCGATCATTACATCTGCTTCGTTTTATTTACCTACAAAAAATAAATTACATAATACATACCAACATGCTAATTATGTTCAATCACTGTTTGTACGTAACATATTAAATAAAAACGTATAGTATAGACATCTAAAAATGTTGTGCCTTTAATAAAATTTTAATAGTTATTTTTTATAAGTATTTCAGAGTATTTAAAATCTTTTGTTATAACCGTACATATAAAAAAGACAATGTTTTGGGCAAAAGAGTAGAATAATAATCGTCAACTATTGGCTACTATTCACAAAATTCTAAACACGACCTAAAAAGAATTTTTAGTAAGCATTCGTAATTAACTCAATCAATTTGTTTTTAAACTTCATACATTTTATATTTGCGTTCAATAGTTTTTTAAACAAAGCTATTGATTTATTGGCAATTTATTTTTTTTATCATATTTTAAATCCGTTTTATGCAAATGGACTTAGAAATCAGAATTTGTATCATCGTCATCATCATTAGATCTATCATATTATTTATTGCGAATTAAAAACCCATTTCAAATGTATTGAAAATTTGCATGTTCGGTTGAGGCAAATAAGTACAAAACCAAAAGCTTGTTGTTTTTTCGAACTTTGTAGCGGTACACTTTAACGTTAATTAAATGCGTAGGCATTTGTCAGCACTCCGAGACATATAAACCGACTGTTTGCACTTGTGGGTTACAGAGTTAAACTTGTTTCTATGAGTATATTATCCATGACTCGGCAGAAACCTGCGCAATATAAATGGGCGTGGGTACGGCCGGCAAGTCATTCGAAGCAAATACAAGTATTAATATTGTAAAGTCGTTTCTCACACCGTCCCATCGCCATGAATTCTAAGTACGCGGTTTTGGTATGTTTTTTGTTTTTGACGTTCGCTTTCAACGGCGTGAATGCTTATTGTAACCCGGATGATTGTTGGGCTCTATGCCGTAGCCAGTATGGTGGGCCACTCACAAAAACTCGAGGAGTATGCGAATCTTCCAACAATGACTATTGTCGGTGTTATGGTATACCCTTGGATCCACTAATCCTCATGCCTGGGGATCCCGAGCGAATGCTCAATTGAAAAAAGGTAAGTATTAAAAAACGCTATTTATTTATTCCAAAAAGTGCACTACGATCCTATATATATTTTGTTATATTGGATTCGATTACCCATAAGTAAACCTCGCATGTTGATGGCTTTGCATATTTTTTCTACTGTTTAATCGTCATTGTTCTTTTAAATTTGAAAACACTGTGAAAATAATTATAATTCAATGTTATACAGATACATAAAATACCTTTTTAAATAATTATCCTAAGTAAAATGTTATTTAAATTATGTCAAGTCACGTAAAATTTGTAGCCGACTTCAATAAAAGTATTTAATTGTATATTGTGACATTAAAATAATAAATACAAATTGGAACAAAAAAATTAGTTTAAAAAATTAAAAAATATTTTACTATTAGGGCATTTTGTCATTTTGGATAAAGCTATAAAAAAAAAGGAAAACGTATTGCGCTATCAACTTTTAAAACTTGTAAACTGGATCGTTTAATTAACTTTTTTAATCATTTAATCATTACGACCGTAACTAAGCATTATTTAATTAAGTTTAAGTTAATTGACGATCGTAAATAATTTATTAATATAGTTTACTTAGTATATAACATAATGTTATAATTATTGTTGTAATTCACAAGTTTTGTTGAATTATCTATACTATAATTTAAAACACAATCACCAAACTTTATGTTTTTAATGCTACAGAAATAGTTTTCATTTTAGATTGATGTGATATGTCAAGTCATTCTCGTATGTAATGTGATTTGTCATGTTAAAATTATACTTACCGTTTTTTCTCTTGTAATTTCTAGCTCAAGACATCGTCTAAACATCTTCTTCAGTTCAACGAGAAAACTTCAAAAATAATGTCAACATTTCAAAACATTGCAAAGTAGTAACTCTTTTGTAATACTATTTATGTTAGCTTTTATGTGTTATTCATTAAAGGCAACCAAATATTATTATGTGTAGATAATAAATAATGATTTTCATAATAAACTTTAAATTTTCCTGAAAATGTAATGTGTTTTAATCTTTTTTTTTTTTCTAAGAACAAATCATTTTAGTCAACACGTGTAATATGTCAAAATAGAGTATTTAAGGTTTAGCGGTTAAGATTGTTCACGTCTAATTATTATAATCATCAAAAGAGCACAATATTCATATATAATATTCATTAATAATTATTAACTTATGCGTGATTTTCCGTAATAGGTCATATTATGATTTTTTTTACAATATTATGTTTGTCGATCGACGATGTTATAATAAAAAGACAGTGATTTCAATAATAACACAAACAAATTTAAGTAGGAATTGGTTCGCTGACTAAAATGTACATTTATTTTACATTTTTTTTAAGTACAAATTCACAGCTAATGGCTGATAGCGGAACGTAAATGAGCTGTTTGATTAACATGTGTACTTACTCGATACTTTTAGTCCATAACATAATTCTACTTATAATAATAAGAATAATAATAATCTTATGCTTGTCAATAACATACATTTTAAGAAAATATCATATTAGTGAGACAAAATGCCCCCTCTGACCTCTTTAATACGCATAGTTGTAATAGGGGACGGTGAGAGAACAATATATGACTTGTAGATTGATGAATAAAACAAACAATCGTTAATATCAAGTTTACTAAAATTATAAAAAATAGATGTACCTATATATTATTATAATAAATGTAAAATGTGTGTAAATGAATAATGTTACATAGAACTAAAGATTCTATATAACTAATTAATTGTTTTTCGCTAAATTTTTTCAGCTGGATTATTTGGTATTATTTCTTTTGCACAATACAGTTCCGACAAGATTTACGTTTTTCTGAGCACAAAGAGTTTTAATCTTGATTGAATTGAAATTGGATAATTGTTTACACCTACTATGATTGTGTATATGTTGTATGTTGTAAGCTGTTGATATGCATTTTTAGTAATTGGAAAAAAATATGTTTAGAGGCCATTTACATTAAGAACACCAAAATCATTATAAAGTTTGACGGTATAGTAACATCTATCTTTATTTAGTATATTTTTTAGGCATTTTGTATTTATCGGCACTCCGAGACAGATAAACCGACTGTTTGCACGTTTTTTAAGGTTACTGAGGTCAACTTGTTTCTATGTGTATATTAAATATATGTATGATTTGGGAGAACCCTACACAATATAAATAGTCGTAGGTACGGCAGGAAAATCATTCGAAGTAAGTACAAATATTAACTGTAAAGTCGTCTCTCACACGGTTTCGTCGCCATGAACTCTAAGTACGCGGTTTTGGTTTGTTTTTTGGTTGTGGCGTTCGCTTTCAACGGCGTGACCGCCAAGTGCAACCCGAATGATTGTATGTCTCTGTGCCGTGAAGAGTACGAAGGGACGTTTAGAGACATTCGAGGAGTATGCGAAACTTCGAACAATGAACATTGTAGGTGTCATGGTAAACCCACAAGTCGAGGTGGAGAGCGACAGCTCAATTGAAAAATAGTAAGTAATAAAAAACGTTATTTATTCATTCGAAAAAAGGCGCAACGATCCTATAAATATTTTGTTATATTGGATTTAATTACTATATTATGTAAACCTCGGATGTTGATGACTTTGCAAATTTATTTAGCGAAATCTGACTTGTATCCAATTACGGTATAAATTCGATTTACAAAGACTAGATTTTAAAACAGGAAACATATATATATGTATGGTATAAATGACACTTGAGCATATATTTGTCAATAATATTTATTTCAAATTTAGTAGGTAGCATATTCGTAAGTTTAATTAATAAAAATGATCCGGTAATTAAATGATTACGAACGTAATTTAGTAATAACTAATTGTGTTTAGGTTAATTAATGATGAAAATAATGTATTAATATAGTATACTTAGTATATAATATTTTGTTTTGTCTGCCCTAAAGGGTGTAAATATAATGTTAACTAAACATAACTAAAAACAGTTATCTTTTTGGTTTTTTATTTAAAAAAAAATATAAGAAGAAAAGGCGATAACAAAGGACTGAATTTTACCGCACCAAGCAAAGACATAATAATGTCAAAAAAAGACAAAAATTTCAGTCCATCTTTTATAATAACTGTTATTAAATAGTTTTACCAAATCATGAGTTATTATAACTTGTTTACCATTTCCACTGGTATTGAAACTACACTATGTGAATTTGAGCATGAAAAATAATTTAATTTAATGATTACGATATAAAAAGAGTGTACTTTTTGTTTTTTATAAAAAAAATTTTAAAAATGACAGAAATTTTAGTCCATCTCTTCTATTAATTATTGGTGCATTGTTTCACCAAATCATAAGCCATTATTACTTTTTTTTTACCATTTTCACTCACTTTCAAACTACACTATGTGAAGTAGAGAATAAAAAAAAAAAATAAAATTTCGATCATTCCAATTTTTTTGCAATTTAGGGTAGTGTTAATATTTGTATTATATCACTCAATTGTACATTGTAGTTCACAAGTTTTGCTGAATTATGTATACTATAATATTTATAACACAATCACAAAACTTTATGTTATTAAAGATTCAGAAATATTTTAAATTTTAGATTAATGTGATTATGTCGAGTCATTCTCGTATGTAACATGATGTGTAATGTTAAAGTTATACTTACTGTTGTTTTCTTTTGTATTTTCTAGCTCAAGACATCGTCTTAAACATCATCGTTAGTTCAACGAGAAAATCACAAAATTATCTTTACAATTTCTAAACATTGGAAAGTAGACATTTTTTTGTAATACTATTTAGTTTTCTTTTACAATAAACTCAAATTTTACTGAAAAATATGTTATTTTTTTAATTACTAATGACAAATTATTATAGTCGATGGGTGTAAAAATAGTATATTAATAATTTATTGATTAATAGTAGTGTTCGGGCCCAGGGCGAACAGTGTTAGGCCGCTTACTGGGTCACCAATTGCTCTAACTTACCGGTCAGTCTGTGTGTGTGAGTAGTGATATAAATAGCTCTACTGGAAGTGGGAAGAGTTGCTTACACAAAACCAGAGAGCTATGTGGTGAATTAGTGTGTTATGTGTGTACTATGTGGGTGTGCGATGGTCACTAAAACTAAACAAATAAATAAATGGAACTCAAATTTTGATAGCAATAATAATAAAATTCAATAAAAAAAAAAAAACAAATAGTCCTATTGGCTCAACGACAATTAATAAATGACTATTGCTTGTGAATAATAATTCACAAACACAAAACAGTTAAATAAATAATTAAATACATATTGAATTGGAATAAAATAGTATAATAAAAACTCGCAGATTACAAATATTGTAGAGCTGCTGGCCAACACTGTTACCCTAGCCTAAAATAAAACTAAAAAACATATAAACAACAATAATGGGTAATATAAATGTAACAACCTTTTGTATAATAATTTGACTAGGAACTATGTGCTGTAGATTTTTATCACTGAAGTCTTTAAAGTTAAAACAAGGCAAAATTAGTTTGCAACTTATTTTAAATGTAACGGACGAATACCGAACGACAACAAAAAAAACTATTTATCCAGTCACTTCCAGCCTAATTTAATTTAGTCCATTTGTTGGATTATTAGTCTTATTACTCATTTATTAATTTTTGTCTTAAAGAATCTATGTTTACCCGTGTTACTATTATTACCATCAATGTTAAAAGAAAAATTGTGTTATGTACTATTGTATTGATCTAGTATGCTGTGTCTTATATGGCAACCTATGTTTTAGGCAGCCCGCTTGATTTTTTTAAATAAAGTTGCTTCTCTCTCGACACGGGCGTGGCACATTTGTTTACATTATATTTTAGTCCGGTGCATGTTGTGTGTGTGTGTGTGTGTGTGTGTGTGTGTGTGAACAGCTGACCGGCAGTGTACGTGATCGTACTTGTTATCAGTGCGGTGGCAAGTAGCTGGGTGGGCTGGTTGACCGGTTGTGGCCAGGTACAGCTATTGCTGCTATTCTTATCGTGCCGCAACAAGTAGAAATATAAAAAAAAATTGAAATTCTCCTACATTTACAATCGTAATGAACACCGAACATAAGCAGTAAGCACCATATGAAAAAGTATTGGTTTCATTGGTTCTGTATAAAAAAAAAAAAAATACATTTATTGTACGAGGTGATAGTTTTATCTTGACACTATATCTCATAGGGTTTAATAAGAAATTTCATTTTTATTCCATAAAGTTTTTATAAAATGTGATCTCAACTTTTTCCAGTTTTTTTAGCTTCGATGCAAAGCGAGAAGGTATTGGTTTTACTCTGATGTGTGTTTTTTTTTTTTATCTGTATACACTGTAACTTTTTTAATACTGGACCAATTCCTTCGAGTAGCAACACTATAAATCGCAAATTTCATCTAGTTGGTACTTTGGGGGGGTAAAAGTTGAAAAAGTTTAATTCTTCACAGACGAAAGTTGAAAAAACAAAAAAAAAACCGTACGAGTTTTTAAGTTAGAACTTTTACTGGCTATAGCTTCGAGAAAAAGAGTCGGATCGAGTTGAAATTTATAAGAAATATTTATTTGGTATGCCCGCGCACGTCATTTGTATCAAATTTAAATTTAACCCAATGCCCACCCCCCTAAGGGGGGAACAAGTTTTTTTGTTTTTCGGGGTTTTTAGCCGTAATTTTAAAACCTTTGGGTTGAAAATTTGCCAGTAGTTGGAACTCATATGTATCCATAACGTATTAAACGGAAAAAAAATTCGGCACTACAGTTTTTTTTTAATTGCCGGAAAACTGTGTTTTCGCAGATTTCGTATATTTTAACAAAAACACCTAAAATCTTTAAAAAAAATTGATCAAATCATTAAAACAATTTTATGTATATAAGTTTTGTGCTCAAGTACCACTTTTGACTTTAAGTTTACACAAATTTAATTTTTTTTTTTTTTTACTTAAGTTCTTTCCGGATGATTAAAATTGAAAACTGATATTAAATTCGTAATCACCGAGCCCAAAAACATATAATTTGACCACTTTT